GCTCACACCTCTAATTCCAGCACTTTGGGATGTCGAGGCGGGTGGATCATGAGGTCAGGAGATTGAGACCATCCTGGCTAACACGGTGAAACCTCCTCTCTACTGAAAATACAAAAAATTAGCCAGGCATGGTGGTGGGCACTGTCTGAGATCAGGAGTTCAAGATCAGCCTGGCTAAAATTGAAACCCCATCTCTACTAAAAATACAAAAATTAGCTGGGCATGGTAGTGCACGACTGTAGTCCCAGCTACTCAAGAGGCTGAGTCAGGAAAATTGCTTCAACCAGGGAGGCAGAGGGTGCATTGAGCACCCTCATTGCTCAGGTGGTGGGTGCACCAAAACCTCAGAAATCACCACTAAAGAACTTTTCCATGCAACCAAACACCACCTGTTCCCTCAAAACTATTGAAATAAAAATAAAAATGTAAAAACAAAAGGGTATCAAAGCTAAGAAAATCAGACTGTAAAATGACAACAATAAAAGCACTATATAGTACATTGGTTAAGGCAGAGCTTAGGGGAAAATTCATATACATAAATACATATAGTAATAAATAAAAATATGAATAAAAATAAACATCAGTGGTAGAAATTAGAAAGAGAACAGCATATAAGCCTAAACACAGAAGAAGGGGCGGGGCAGGGTGGCTCACGCCTATGATTGCAGCACTTTGGGAGGCTGAGGCAGGAGGATTGCTTGAAGCCAAGAGTTTGAGACCAGCCTGGGCAACAAAGCAAGACTCTGTTTCTAAAAAAAAAAAAGGAAGAATCAGAAAACAGAAAAATATTAGAAACAACAAATATCAATGCAACAACAAATAATAAAAGATAAACTATAGCTAGCTAATAGAGGAAACTGGATGGCTGAGGAAGGATGTGGATAGGAGATTTACTTTAGAAACTCATTTATTATTAAATATTTCAGACATACCAGAAGGTACAAACAATAATGTAAGGCATGCTTGTGAAATGAACACTAACCTAAAGAATAAAACATTACCAAGGCATGTGAAGCCTTTCTGTTCTTCTCCATTACATCTCCCTCCAGTTCACCACTACCTTGAAATTTTAGTCATTCCAATGCATGACTTTATAATTTCATGACATATGTACACTCCTAAACATTTATATTCTTTCCCACGTTAATTATATAAATGTTATTTTACATTATATATTTTTTATTTCCTTTTCTAAGAGATGGGTGTCCCCACTGGCCGCCAACTCCTGGGCTTAAGAGATTCTCCTGTCTCAGCTTCCCCAAGAAGTTGGGACCACAGGAACACGCCACCGCACCCGGCTTGCGATGAGGTGTGTTAAACTTGTTTTGTTTAGGTTTTTGTCTTTTTTGTTTTTCCTTTTTGTGAAGAACGGGGTCTCGCTATATTGTCAGGCAGTTCTCCAGCTCCTGGGCTCAAGCGATCCTCCCGCCTCATCCTCCCTAAGTGCTGGGATTACAGGCGTGAGCCAACGCGCCCGCTAACCCTGTTTTTTGGGATTTTTCATGCTAGTAAATATAGTACTAGTTCATTCTTCGTACCTGCTATATACTATTATATAAATACGCCACTGTTTAGTTATTACTTCTGTCAATGGCACTCATGTTTCCTGTTCTTTTGCAACTTACGAAGTTTGCTATGAATATTCTTGTATTTGTAGATACGTGGGCGAGAATTTTCCTAGAAGAGGGGTAGGCACGTGTAATTTTACAAGCTATTTCCTAGTTGCTCTGCTAAGGGTTTGTGCCATTTAGACTACTAAACCGCTGTGTTTATCTCGTTGCTCAAAAGCTCAACACCCGACACGAGAGGCTTACTTTTCATTCTGCCTCCTGTTTTATTGTTCCTGGTACTTCACGTTATACAATTCCTCGATTTTTATTTCAATTACTCCTCACAATCAGCCTGTGGGTTAAGTACGATTTTTCACATTTTACAGATAAGAAAACAAAGAATCTCTTCGTTTGTTGAGACAACAGTTTTTCTTCTACTTAAATCAATGTCTTACTTTTCAACCTCGCTCACTGTTATCTTTTTGCTCCCAGCGCTGGAAAAAGTGGGACATCCCCTTCGGTGGGTGTACGGGGTTGGTATCCAAAGTTGGCAGCTTTCCCTCCCCTTCCTCCACCCTCTCCAAAACCCTGTCTCCGCGCTTCGCCACCCGGGGACAGCTGTGGCTCTGTAAAGCGGCGGAACGACAGGGTTTGAACCACTGGAGACCCCGTAGTCCCCATCTCGCTTCCCTCTGCCCCGCTCTGCGTCTGGGGGCGCCCTCCGCCGCGCTGGAAAAGGCGGGGCCGGCAACTTTGGGCAACAAGATGCGTTGGGATAGGCCGAGGTTTGCGGCGCTAGTGCTCTGGTCACCGGAAGTGCCGCTGTTTCTCCCTCTCCTGAGCCGCTGTCGCCGAGGCTGGAGCGCTGCCCCGGAAGTTCTCCCCCCTGTTCCCCGCCCGCGGCAAACATGGCGGTGGACTCGGCGATGGAGCTGCTATTTTTAGATACTTTTAAACACCCGAGCGCTGAGGTAAGGCTTGGCGACTTGATTCTGACGCTGCTTTTCGACTTGGGACCTTTACAAAAAAACCGTTGGGCGTCCTCGACTTTTCCCTCTGCAGATTACTTCTTTAATTTCTCGCTTACACACAGACACCCTCCCCCGAGCGGTGTGAGCATCGCGTCTGAGGGAGGGCTGCAGCAGCCTCTTCATTTCCTTGCTTTAACTTGGACCTTCCGTGTCTTTGGTCGAGTTGGCTTTTCTGCTTGCATGGCTTTATTTTTTGTTTTTCCTATCAGGTTTGGGCTGTGAGAAGAATCAGGGTTCTCAGGTTTACCTCAGATGGCATTTGGGAGGGGTCTTGATTTGACAGTAGTGTTTGACAGTAGTGCCGGAGTCTGAGCAGCTTACGTCGGCTTCGTGGTTTCCGAATCACGATGTTTCTAAATCCTTACTCTTTGGCCCCTTTTCTGTCGGGAGTTATGTTCCCCAGTTGTGACACTCATTCGGTTTAGGATTACGGTGCTCTCTAATTTGGCCTGAAACTTTAATACTTGTCTCTCGGAAAGATTTCACACATTAGGAATGAGATGCATTCACGTAGAATACTTGCGAAGAGGGGAGCATTGAGAGAAGTATAGTTAAACTCGTCAGCAGACATGTCTTTTGAGGGCGGGGGTGGAATGTTGTGGAGTAATATTTCTGTACAAAATTATTTGAACGCCCCTGAATGTACAATTGACCCAGCAATATGTAAATTAAACATAGCTGGTTAACTAAAGATTCCTGAAAGCAGACCAAAAATGAACTCGAATGAAGTCTACGGAGAAATTGTTCCAAAAAAAAAAAAAAAAAAAAGTGGACTTCACATTTCTCTGTCTTAATATAAGCTTAATCAATTTACAGAACTGTTCTTTCTTTGGATATTATTTTTTTCCTTTTATTTGTGTCAAGTGTGTTCTTGTATCAAGCTTTTTGAGGATACATATAATTTCTTTTCTTCTCAGTTGTATCTCCAGTGCCTCTGTTAGCAAAACGTAGGTGCTCAATAAATATTTGAATGGAAAATGTTTAAAATGTTCTTTCTTTTGTAAGATAGTAATGATAGTGGGTAGTGGTTGTATCATAATGCTTTACGTGGCAAAATAGAAAGTTGACAGCTGTGATCTAATTTAACGAATGGTTTATAGGTTTGTAAAAGTCAAAATTTGGAGAACTTCGAGTCAGCATTTCTTACTGACAATTAATTTATGGTCTCATATTTCATGTGGGTCAGTGTCAGTTAGCACTGTTTGTTCAATGACTATATCTCTCTGACATTCCAGCCAAGATTTAGAAAACCCTCAATGGAGACAGTAGTTGGATCAGATCAAACTTATCATGTGTATAGAAATAGAGGACAGTTAAATTTGAAAGAGCCTGGCGCAGTGGCTCATGCCTGTAATCAGCGTTTTGGGAGGCGGAAGCAGAAGGATTGTTTGAGTCCAGGAGTTTGAGACCACCCTGGGCAACATAGTGGAACCCCCGTCTCTACAAAAGAAAATTAACTAGCTGTGGTGGCTTGATGCTGTTGCCCCAACTACTCAGAAGGCTGAAGTGGAAGGATCACTTGAGCCTGGGAGGTCGAGACTGCCGTGAGCTAAGATCACACCACTGTGCTCCAGCCGGAGCAACAGAGTGAGACCCTGTTTCGAAAGAAAGAAAGAGAAAGAGAAATAGAAAGAGAAAAAAAGAGAAAGAGGCATATGATGAATTAGTTTAGTACTATTCTAGTTTAGGAAAATTGGCCTTCATTAGTTTATCATATATTTAATCTATTCTTTTATTCATTCTTAGGTAAACATTGAGTACCTTGAGCGCATAGGGCAGATGGTAAATGCCTTCTTCTGGGGTGATTGGGGAAGGCTTAGTAGAGATCACATTTGAATCAAGTCTTGAAGGAGGAAGTAGGGGTTTGTGGGTGATATGAAATATTGAAATGTTTGTTTTCAAGAAGTTATAACCCAGTGTTGGAGATTAGATCCACAAAATTGTGATTTGAGTTAGAATGTGATGATCGCATAAAGAAACACAGTGTGAATTCATTGGGGTTTATCATCTTTGTTTACAAAATGCCCGTCAGTATCTGACATATTAGAACTAGCTGTCTTTGTGGGTATAAATAAAGGATACATGATTTCAGAGGAGGCAGAGATAACTTTTCATTTGAGAGTATCAGGAAAGACTTCATCAAGGTGTTTGGCTTATGAACTTGGTCTTTGGTAAAAGGGGCAATATTTCACGGTTGTAGTTAGGAAAGGAGGGCATTCTACTGGAGTAGTCAGTCATCTGTTAGGATATGCTTAAAGTAGCAGTGTGAAGTGGCACCCAAGGCAGTTCAGAGACAGATCATGGAGCTCCTTGAATGCTCAACAAAAAATTACGGACTTTAGGCCAGGCGCGGTGGCTCAAGCTTGTAATCCTAGCACTTTGGGAGGCTGAGGCAGGTGGATTGCCTGACATCAGGAGTTTGAGACCAGCCTGGGTAACATGGTGATACCCGTCTCTACTAAAATACAAAAAATTAGCCGGGCGTGGCGGTGTGCGTCTGTAGTCCCAGCTACTCAGGAGGCTGAGGCAGGAGAATTGCTAGAACCCGGGAGATGGAGGTTGCTGTGAGCCAAGATCGCGCCACTGCACTCCAGCCTGCGCGACACAGCAAGACTCTGTCTCTTAAAAAAAAAAAAAAAAAAAGAAAAATTATGGACTTTTTTTTGTAGTAAATAGGTAGTTTTTGAGCAGGCAAATCATACAATTAGTAAGATACATTGGGTAGATTACTTGATCAATAATACTTAAAATGGTTCAGAGAAAATAGACGTAAGGTGACAAAATCAGGGAGAAAAAGTGAGATGTTATGAAAACCTGAGTTAGCCAATGGGCAGCAATCATTGTTTAACATTTATTGAATGCCTAATTTGTGCCAGACACAGTGGGCTTTGATAACTTAAGTAAATCATCTCTGGTCCTTCCATCAGTTTTTCTTCTTTTTTTTTTTTTTTGAGACTAGGTCTTGCTCTGTCACCCAAACTGGAGTGCAGTGCTGCGATCACGGCTTACTGCAATTTCTGCCACCGGGGCTCAATCGATCCTTCCATCTCTGCCTCCCGAGTAGCTGGGACTACAGTTGTGCACCAACACGCCTGGCTAATTTTTTTATTTTTTTGTGGAGGTGGTGTTTTGCCATGTTGCCCAGGCTGGTCTTGAATTCCTGAGCTCAAGCGATTCTCCCACCTCAGCCTCCCAAAGTGCAAAGATTACAGGCGTGAGCCACTGCAGGGCCCACGCTGAGTTTTCAAAGGTAGTCATCTATATTTTGTAGATAAGGAAACTGAGCTTGAGAGATTAGGTGACTTTACTAAAATAACATAGCTAGATTAAGATCCACCATCACACATTTTTCTGGCTCTAAATCAGTGCTATGCTATGTCCCAGTGGAACTACATAGGAGAGGATTTATACATCTTTTGGATATATACAGATATCGAGTATAGAATTGACAGGATGGCAACTGATTGTGTGAAGGAGGTAGGGTAGTTAAAAATGGTAGAATTCTAGTTTTAGAGACAGGAGAACTAGTGGGACTAATGATGGTAAGAGTGTGGAAGTGAGTTTGATGGGAATGGGATAATTAGCCAGATTACTTTGCCCCATAGGAAGCTGAGAATCTGTTTAACATTTATTTATGAAAAACACTTTTGGAGGTGAGGGTATGGCTTAGGAGGGGCAATACAAGTCAGAACAAAACCCATTGCCCTTGATTTCAAAGGAATTTGTAATATGGTAGAGAAGAGACATTTATTAGTTTCACACAGGGAGTCCTTATTGCCAGCTACCATTAACAGCTCTTTTTTTGGTATTGTACTTATTTTACCAATAATTTCCTCTTCCCCACATAAAGAACTGATACACATTTATAAGGCCAATCTACTGAGTTCGGAAGATAAGCAGTTAAACTTATTAAAAGACAATTTCATTGTGAGGGAATAGTGTTCCTGTGAATGAAAAAACACTTAACATTACAAATCAAGAATGCAAGATAAGCCAGGTGTGGTGACATGTGTGCCTGTAGCCCCAGCCTGGGAGGCTGAAGTGGGAGGATCGCTTGAGCCCAGGAGTTGGAGGGCAACATAGCAAACGCGGTGGCTCATGCCTGTAATCCCAGCAATTTGGGAGGCCGAGGTGGGTGGATTACAAGGTCAGGAGATCGAGACCATCCTGGCTAACCTGGTGAATTCCTGTCTCTACTAAAAATACAAAAAAATTGGCTGGGTGTGGTGGCACGCCCCTGTAGTCCTAGCTCCTCGGGAGGCTGAGGCAGGGGAATGGCGTGAATCTGGGAGGTGGGGCTTGCAGTGAGCCTAGATTGCGCCACTGCACTCCAGTCTGGGCGACAGGGCGAGACTGTGTCTCAAAAATAAAGTAAAATAAAATAAAAAAGCAAAATATCTCTCTAATGTTAGCATATACAATATTAGAAAAAATTGTTTAAGTTAAAATCAGATTTAAGCAAGATTATTTGATAAACAAGTATATGAGTGGAAAGCTATTGTATTTGTATATTCCTGTTGATAAGTGAATTAATTTCCTTTCTGTATGTCTCCCTATTGTAATCAGCTTTTTCTTTGTATTTTGTAGCTGTAATTCACAACTGTCTTTATATTAATGTTTTTCCAAATCCTCTAGTGATTATTATACTTAAATGTATACACCCATTGCCCACGTTAATATTACAATACTGTAATACTGTTTTGTGGTTTCTTTTTTCACCTAACAATGTGTTGTATGTCTTTGTGAATCAAGAAGTAGTATACTTATATAATATTTTTAAAGTAAGCTTATTTTTAAAAATTTTCTCTTTTTTTTTTTTGACTAGGTAATACATGTATGAGGTACAAATACAAAAGGTACAAAAGGGTATATGGTAAAAAGTAAGTCTCTCTCATCACTGTCCCCTAACCATCTTGTTTCTCTCCTTAGATATTCTATATAATATTCTTTTTTATTGGCTGTATAATATTCTTTAAGTGGTAATGCTATGTATATTTTTTGAAACAGGTTGGAGTGCAGTGGTGTGCTTATGGCTTACTACAACTTCTTCCTGGGCTTAAGTGATCCTCCTGCCTCAGCCTCCTGATTAGCTAGGACTATAGGTGTACACCACTATGCCCATCTAGTTTTTAAAGTTTTTTTTTTTGTGGAGATGGGGTGTTACTGTGTTGCCAGGCTGGTCTTGTACTCTTGGCCTCAGGTGATCCTCCTGTCTTGGCCTCCCAAAGTGCTAGGATGTTAATGCTACTATTTATATATATTCTCATACATTTGATAATGAGAATGAGAAAAAATATATATATATATATTCTCATATATTTAGGTTTCTGACTTTACAGTGGTGTGTAATATTCTTGAAGCTAAATTGTTTTATACATTTTTAGTTAATTTTTAAATATTACTTTCAAGTGTGGAAGTGCTGGGTTAAAATAGAGTCCTAGGAGAGTAGGTCAATATTAGAAAGTCCTGTATTTTAGAGGTCATTTAAAAATGACTGTAGGAAACCAATTAGGAACTCATCTGCAGAAATGGAAAAGGAAGTGGTAGCAGTAGATGTGATAGCTAAAGGAGAGGGTAGAAAGAGAAGATAATTGCAGGGATAGAAGAATAAGGAAGGGAAACAGTTATGCTGTGACCTTTAAACATGCAGGTAAATGACTCCTTCCAAAGATAATTGTGGCTCAGAGTTGTGGAATCTGACCAGTCTTCATATTCCTGTTACTTTCCTGATCATGAACCTTCCATGATTTCCCATTGTCAACCTGTTTTCCTAGGCTTTGTTTTTATTTCTCTGAAAACACAATTCAATAACCATTAATCAAGTGCCTATTAAAAATTCATTTATTAAATGAATATTCTAGGCACTATGAATATGCAGTAAACTAAGACATAGGTCTGTCTTCTTTAAACACATAGTCTAATGGGAGAGATAAGAGGCAGTTACAATTCAGCTAGATAAAGGACTTTGGGCACTAGGAGGAGAGGCACCTATCTAGATTTGATCTGGCTCAGCTTTCAAGAGAAAGTTTACTTGTACAAGGAGTTGGGGCAGAGGGATGTGATGGATTTCGAGCAGAGAGAACATCATGAGTGAGGGCATGAAAATGATAAAAAGCATGATAGGCTAGGGATGTAAGTTTGGAGTGATAACGAAGCCAGTCTTGTTTTAAGACCTAGGAATTTTGCTTGGTGGCAGTAAGGATCAGGGGAGTGGTACATGTATAGTTTAGAAAGACCATACTTCAATAGGAGAATGGGTTGATGGGAGGCAAGAAAGAAGCACAGGATGCAAAGTCATAAGAATGATATACTAGACTTTGGGGACTCGGAGGGGGAAGGTTGGGATGGGGGTGAGGGATAAAGACTACATATTGGGTACAGTGCACACTGCTTGGGAGACGGGTACACTAAAATCTCAGAAATCACCATTAAAGAACTTATCCATGTAAACAACCACCTGTATCCTAAAAACTATTGAAATAAAAATTTAAGAAACAAAACTTAAAAAAGAAGCACAAAATCAGTTAGGTTCCTATTGCTGTAATTCATATTAGAGTGGTGTAGTATATGGAACTAAAGGAGTGACAGCCAGAATGGAGGAGAGCTTTAATCAATAGGATTTGGTGTTTGAATAGATAGATGATATAGATGAGAGAGGATGAGAAATCCAGGATGATAATGTCTTGGGCAATATGTGGATGGTGATGCCATCACTGATGTAGGAGAAATTCAGTTTGGATTTGTTGAGTTTAGTGCACGAGGGACATTGAAATGGAGAGGTCGAGTGGGCAGTTGGATATAGTAGCCTGGGGCTCAGGAGAGAGGTCCTAGTTGGAGATACAGGTTTGGAATTGTCTTCTGACTGTAGATGAAAATCTTGTTTTTGTAATTCTGTTGGTTGTCCTTAGCTACTCTTCTCTGCTTTCCTCCCCTATTTTGCTATTCTGCCCTCTAGCTATGATGAACTATATTTGCAATTTCTTTCTTTCCTTTTTTTTTTTTTTTTTGACAGA